GCTAGGGAAGTCAGAAATAGAAAAAGATTTGGGGGTCATTGTAGACCACAAACTGAATGGTAGCTTGCAGTGCCAAGCTGCGGTAAAAAAAGCTAGCAGGGTCTTATCCTGTATTAAGAAGGGGATGTATTGCAGGGACAAGTCTATAATTGTGCCTCTATATAGATCGTTGGTTCGGCCACATCTGGAGTGCACGGTCCAGTTTTGGTCGCCTGTACTGAGAAGGGATGTTCTTGAAGTGGAGAGAGTCCAGCGGAGGGCAACAAAACTAATTAGGGGAATGGAGGACCAGAGCTATGAGACAAGGCTTCTGACCTTAAACATGTTTACGCTGGAATTAAGGAGATTAAGGGGGATATGATTTTCATGTACAAGATGTTCAATGGTGACAGCAACATTGGCAACAAACTGTTTGAGATTAACTCCATTACAAAGACTAGAGGTCACCACCTAAAGTTGGTGGAGAAGAAATTCCAGCACAATGGGCGAAGAGGGTTCTTTACAGTAAGAGCGGTTAAGGTCTGGAACTCACTGCCATCGGCAGTGATTTCAGCCAAGAGTGTAGATTTGTTCAAGAAACGTTTGGACAATTTCTTGAGGGACCGTAATATCCAGGGATACCAGTATCCCTAAGAATGAGATGATGCGTGGACCAATATGGGTTGGACTTGATGGACGTATGTCTTTATTCGACCCCAAATACTATGTAACTATGTAACTATGTAAACTTTTTTTAGGTTAAGTGGTGAAGAGTTAAAGTCCCAGCAAAATGAATACACTTTTACATTCAGAAATACTTTAAAAGAGAACTATGGCCCAAACACTTTTTTTGCCTTACTTCTCTTTTGGGTCAGTAGGACTCCTTTGACCTCAAACTCAGCATATAGCAGGCTATTGCCCATTATATGCTGACACCACAGAGCCACCACATCAGCTGGATCTGCCTCTCTACAGGCAGCCGTGGCCGCCCCCTCCCCTGTCCATCCAGTCAGCGCTGGAGGAACAGAGAGGGGAGGGAATGCCTGGTGGTCACCGCTATCCGCAGGGAGAAGATCGGGAATTCAGTGTGCAGCGGTATGTGAACGCTCAGTTCTCGATCAAATCAATAGAGCCAACTTGCGACTGTTTCAATGTCACACGTCAGCTCTAATTATGGGGATAAGTGTATTTCACTTATTTCAATTCTCCTTTAACTAGAAATCCATTAAAATATAGTTTTAGGCAATGTTAGTTGAAATGTTGTCAATTTAGGAATTTCTATGAAAGAATTATTACTGAATTATTACTGAATTATAAGCACCATAAGAAAACACAAATAGGAAAATGGGCAGTATTCTACACTCCAGAGCCTAGGTACAAGCGTATCATTATTTGAATACAAGTACTTGAACATCTTATTCAGATAATCCTAAAATTCACTAATCCCAAAAGCAGCAAACAATTGAAATTCCTAGTCTTGTCTATTAAATTATAATATTTGGTTTTCCTCAACAAGTAGAGATCCCACAGTGGAGCTGAGTATAGTATATAATAATTATCAACATATAGTAATATCACAAATGTTTTAATTTTTAGAAAAAGTTGTACAAATACCCACTCAAAAAAACACAGAACTAACATTTAAAAGTCTAAAAATGAAGCTTCCCTGCAATGGCTCGATAGAAAAAAGAATGGTGGTTGCATGTAGTTATAATTACCCTACATGGGTAATAAAAGTCGTGGAAGCAAAAGATCAACCGCTGATGTGTCGATGTTTAGAAAATAACACTTTCTCTCACATGTTTCTTTGTAACACTCCAAGAGAAAAATGTTCCATTTGTAAACAAAATATCACAACGGATAATTCACAGCAGAGTTGTAAGAAATAAACACTCTCTTGGAGCTTCTTGTAAGACAGGACAAAGTTATCCTTATGGAAACTGGAAGCAAGTGAAATAGCACAGTGGAAAGCCAGCTCCGTGCCGTCACTGACACGCTATACCCTAAACTGCCGAATCAACCGAAGGGCTGCAGCCACAACAGCAGCTGGGATACATGTTGTCACTGATTCAAGAGATAAGTATGCTATTATCTAATTTTACGAGTACGGCCCTATGATAATCAGAGACTTTTGGCAAAGATTTATGTTAGCATGTAGCTGGCTTTCCACTGTGATCTCAGCTGTATGGGGTCACTACGGGGTTAACTTTAACTCCTGAGGCTGCTCGTGCTATTTCACTTGCTTCCAGTTTCCATATGGATAATTTGGTCCTGTCTTACAAGAAGCTCCAAGGGAGTGTTTATTTCTTACAACTCTGCTGTGAATTATCCACTGTGGTATTTTGTTTACAAATGGAAAATTTTTCCCTTGGATTGTTACAAAGAAACAAGTGAGTGAAAGTGTTATTTTATAAACATCGACACATCAGCGGTTGATCTATTGCTTCCATGACTGTTATTACCAGTGTAGGGTAATTATAACTACATGCAACCACCATCCTTTTTTTTTTTCTATCGAGCCATTGCAGGGAAGCTTAATTTTTAGACTTTTAAATGTTAGTTCTCTGTTGGTTTTTGTTAGAAACATTTCTTGAATGACACTTACGATTTAAGCGTCTTAAGGTGATTATAATCTTCATCAAAGAATGTCCAGTTGTTGAATGAAAAAACTTGTGACTTTCATTGTATAGCATAAAGTCAACAGCATACAATGATATAGCAAAAAATGAATATACAAATAGATAATTCAAAAATATAGTTCAAAGTTAATGCAGAGTTAGAGTACTCTGAATATCACCTCGTCTCTTGGAAGTCACACAGGCTTGTGAGGGTTTTAGACGAGAATAGTCTTTAAAACAGATGTAAAAACAAAGTATTCTTCTATGGGGTGTATCTCTCCTCGTGTAAAGTTCTCTTCTGTGTGTTGTGTGTGATGTAATGTAATGTGCCCATTCTCAGAGGTATTCTCTGCTTATATTTCTAAAGTGACGTTAACTATTGGCTAATCTTATAAGGTCATCTACTTTAGAAATCTATTCTAACCTCACTTTGACGTCATATTCTATACTCTCTCTATAAGGCTCTTTCAAAAACTCTCAAGTCATGAACTTCTAAATGTCATTCTACAAACATATTTTAAAAGACAGATCTCCTTCTTTTGACATTCTTCAACAGCTGTTAACACTAAAGTTCTTTCAAATTCTGACATAGCTCAGATTTCAAGGACAAAGCAAAGGGTTGTCTATTTCAATGCCATGCATTCAAAAGCACGAGGTGTCAGTTAAATATATGGGCCCATTCTTTAATTCCTCTTAAGCCAAATCAAATTTGAATCTAAGTATTTTTCAGTTTTTTTGTGTGGGTATTTTGTACAACTTTTTCTAAAAATTAAAACATTTGTGATATTACTATATGTTGATAATTATTATATACTATACTCAGCTCCACTGTGGGATCTCTACTTGCTTGAGGGAAAACCAAATATTATAATTCATGTTTATGAGACCCAGGAGCGGTTACATATGATCATTAGTAATTGCAACCCTATTCCCTTGTGTATGTAAAATCTTGTCTATTGAAATTGTCCTGCTGCTTGCCAATTTTACACTGCTGTATCCTCTGCATTCTCTTAATTCTTGAAATACCTACCTGCGCTCAATGACTTTATATTGCTGAATTGTCTGTGACCCCCTAAATTAATGAGAGTTTCATAGAAATTGGCCAGCAGCAGGTCACTTTTGCTTCAGCAAAAAGCATGCAATGCTGCTACAACTACCTAAACAAAAGCATTTTTTCAATCTGAAATGCATTTTATTGGGGTGCTGCTGTATGTAAGCCAAGCTAATTGCAAAAGAAAAAAAAACAATTCTACAGCCAAAATGTGTGCTGATAGTGTACACTGTCAAAATGTCTATGAAAATCATACTGTTCCATAAAACCATGTACATCTTGCAAAGTGAATCTTTACTTTGTGTCTCCTCATTTGCAAAGATAGGTGCAAACTCACTTTGCAAAGTAAAAAATTAACTTTGAAAGTGAACATGTTCTTCTCCTTTAGTAAATCAAGGTCATGACCAATTTCTGATCAAACCAAAAAACTGCCATTGCAGTGGGGTTACCGACACGCTGCAAGGGTTAAGTGTTTGTTAATGCCTAGGGGACAGGAAAAAGCTGTTTTACTTACCTGATCCCCCACTCCCACCGACTCCCTCTGGGATGCTAGGCCTGTCCCCACAGCTTCTTCTCTCCTTTGCCCCAGCAGTCTAAAGGCTACTGATATCATCATCATGTCTAATGCAGGTTCCACAGATCTGCATTAGATGTGAGGATACCAAGGGACATCCCACCAGCAGGGGCAGAGGGGAGAGAGGTAAACTCTGACCGCCAAATATCAAGTACATAAAAGTGCTTTACTCTGGTCACATAGGCATAAATGAGCGTTAACCCTTGCAATGCGCGGGTAGCCACACTGCAAGGGTAGTTTTCTGTTTGCCTGGAGATGGCCTTTAAACTCATAGGCATTCTTAGATATTTGCTTGTAAATGTCAGTTAAAGCAGCATCATCTTTAGCAGGCATATGAAAAGCATTTGACAGGTTTCAAACACCTTCGGGAAGCCTTTCTTCTGCTAGGGATACACTGGTGAATACACCTTTTTGCTTCTGAGAATTGAAGTGCTTGTTGTAACAACCTCACTGAAATTTGTAATTAACACACCTGGGATAGACATGGTGCCTTTCAAGTGCTTTAAAACTATGTTCAAAGCTTGTTCATGCTTTTTGAAAACTTCAGCTGAATATGTCTGATTTCAGCAGTACATCGGCTGGCTTCGGCTCCCTTCGGTTCAGCTGAACATGCTCATCATGTTTGGCAGAGCCGAAGTGAAGAACATGTTCGACTCAACCAAATCCAACATCTGGATCGGCTGACACAAACGTCTGGGAGTTCATTCACAGCTGTTTGCCCCTATTCTCATAGGGGCCAAACAGTAGTGAGTAATTCGCTGTATGCTACCTGAGGACAGTGACCTGTCATTGCATGACAACAAATGGGTGTAGCCAGCTGTGAAGTCACGGCTGACTGCGCAGGCATTTATTGTCATTTTGCCAAGACCTTGCAATAGCGATTTGACCCATGTCGGCCAACTATCAACAGATAGGCGGAGCCAGCCGTGATGTCACAACTAACTCCACCTATCTGTTTACATTCAGCCGGCATCTGTCAAATTGATCATTTTGCGGCGGGAGTTTGTCGCATGCAGGAAGATGGGCGGGGTCGGGGTTTTTTTTATTTTGACAAGTCAGTGGCATCGTGGACATCTAGTATGATCAAAAGAAACAAAGCGCTAAAGGTAGCTGTATGAGCAAAAGAATAAGCTATAATTGATTCTGGCGAGGTCAGTATGGAAGCTAATATATAAGTGTAAAACAGGACTAGCTTCATAGACAAGTATAGATAAAACCAGTCTAACCAAAATACAAAAATCAATTAGAACCACTAAAATTCATTCCGATGGAATAAATAAACAAACAATGTTTAAAACGTCAAAATCAGTGTCCAATGCTTAGAAAATCCAAGTGAAAGGTGGTTTCCATGTGCAAATAAAAATGTGCAAAAATAGCAGTGTACTTGAGATTGATCCAAACTGTCCCTCTCGGGTAACAGGTGAACGGTAAGTTCCGTGTGCAAATGTACAAATGTGCAAAAACAGCAATGTGCTTCGAATTGTTCCGAACTATCCCTCTCGGGTGGTTACTCACCAGAGTGAAGTTGGTAGAAAAATCGTGGACATCGCTGGATTTTTTTCTAAAAGTCTGGTTTCTTTATTTACATTTTAACTTAACCTTTTAGTGAATGAGTTGGGGTACCTTTCTGAAAGGGGTACCCAGATACAAATAAGCCCCCCACAGTCCACAGACTCCCACTGGACCACACTTTTTTTTTTTTTCTTTTACTGTTTGTTTACATTTGCGGGGAGAAAGCATATGCTTCGGCTGCTGTACGGTCTATTGTGAATAGCCTGTACAGCAGACCTTTGGTTCGACTGAACCAAAGGGCTCCAGCGGCCGAAGTGAGCCTAAGGATAAGCCGAACCTACGGCTATATCCTTCGGCTCCTTTGTGAATAACCTCCTATGTGTTTTGGGTCTTAATGTGTAATAATGAGTGAGGAAAGAATAAAAATGCTGCCAAGTTTGCATCTGCATCTCTACTAGGTTGATTCACCTATTTGTTCTAGTGAGCAATGTCATCAAAATAGGAAGTGATTGGTAATGTTGGTTTTCAACAGAACAAGGGATGAGGTTAAATCTTCCAATAGTGACATATTTTCTGGTGATTGCTTTCTAAGAGAGGAATTTTCCCTGCTTTGTAGAGATTTCCTGGTATGTTTCTGGAACAAAATGTTATGGGAAATCTTCTAAATTGGCACAGACAGCAAAAAATAAACTGAAATTGGTTTTTGAAATATTTTGACTAGACATGCAGTTTAATCATAATTAATAGTAAACTTCACAGAATTTTGAAATGCCCAAGTGGTGCATGACTGATCAAGGATTGGCAAAACTGGCTGTTGCACAGCTGTAGCACTTTCTGCACACATTTTTAAAAATGGTCTAACAGTAGGTGATTCTTCTTTACAAAAATAAAGATTGTTTTTTTATTGCCTTTACTATAAATACTCTAGCGTAGTATAGTCTGCCTACATTTGTGTAATACTATGGTCATTTGTGCTATACATCTTAAGCACATTTGGAGTTTTCCTTAAAGGAGAACTATGAGGTGAGTGATTTCCACTCACCTCATAGTTCTAGCCGACCTGTGACAATGAGACTGTCACAGGTCGGCTCAGTAGATCGGGAGGTGAGCGAACAGATCCCGGCTTTCACTCACCTCTCGATCCTGTCACGGCTCTCTGCCGTGACAGGGGAGGGGCTGGACTCCCCCCTCCCCGCTCCGATCCGCCAGCGCTGACTGGCGGAATGGACTGGGGAGGGGGCGGGTACAGCTGGCTCTGCCTCAGAGCCAGCTGTCAGTCACGCAGCTGGGCGGATCCCGGCACAATTGTCGGGATCCGCTTCAGCTGCGGCGTCTCAGTATACCGCGAGCTACAGCTCGCGGTATACTGAGCCTAGGGTGACGGGCGGACGCTAGTTTGTGTCCTCCCGTTACCCTAAGGAGAACTATGGGGAAAAGACTTAACCCCATAGTTCTCCTTTAAAACACTTTTGTATCGCTACAATATATTATAAATTATTGTTACCAGTTAAATTACCCATTTGTATAATATGCATGGTATAGATATATTTATTGAAATGTAAAATAAAGAAATTACACTGTTATTTTCTTTTTTCTTCACAGAGGTCAAGATTGAATATGTCCCTCTTGAAGGTAAGAAGGTTTCAAAATATGATGAGTAGTGTGCAATGGTTTGCACCAATAAGAAAATGCAGAGTGCTTTTAGATACATTCCACTAGCATTTAAGGCTGGGAGGTTCGGCGGGGCGGTTCGGCCGTGCAGATCCGCCGACATGAAGGATACCATACATTGCTATGGGGACCGTTCACGCGACTGTGCGGACCCAAACCGCCTCCCGCCCAAATTGCTCCCTGAGCTTTTTTTCCATGCTGATCAGCACAGTTTCCCTACAGCTTTTAATAGAACCATGCTGATCAGTGCAGTTTTGGGAGTTTTTAATTGCGTTTCAGCTCTGAAACGCAATTCAAAACACCCAAAACCGCCTTTTTGGAAAACGTGCTGATCCGCACCCGTCCTGGTGTGACTGGGGCCTTAGATTAGTTTGAGACACTTCTGAAATGAATTCAGAATTCATTAACAGTTGTGCTTATCCTTCAGTTGATATCCTTCTAAACTGCATTGACCTCCTTCTTAGCTGCGTCAAGGTGCTTTTGAATCTCATCAAGTTAATGGTGAGAGAAGCCATTCTGATGAACATAAAAGCACATGCACATAGACACTAAGACCTAGTACACTCAGGCATCAGCTTGTATAAGAGGTATGTGACCAATAAGCTTTTGCAGATCATTTGTCGAGATTTTGGCAAGCATTGTTGAAGCTTTTAAAGCTACTTTCAGCCCGTTTGGAAATGTTAACCTCAGACCTTTATGGGAGTTCTTACTGTTATTTTAAACAAGAGGCTAACAGGTTTCAGTAAGCTTAAGTAAAATTTGAAACTTGTTGAAAGCCTACTGACAGTTTGTTTAAAGTATAACCTGCTTCCCCGTTAAAATATGTGTTTAACAGTTCTAAGCTGAAGCAGACAGATGCTTTAAAAGCTTAAAGAAAGCTGCTTAAAGCTTCACAAATGCTTTGCCAAAAATCTGGTGCACACGCTGCTCTTATATAACTTGAAGCCAGTGTGAACTAGGCCTGAATGTTGTAATCAGGATGTAGTTCCACATTATTTATCAAACACAGGTTTAAAGTCCAATTGAACCTTCAGTTTAAATTAGCTTAATAAATTTTAGGTGCATCAAAAATCAACTGTGAGACATTGAAAACCTTTTGTTTTGATGCACCTGAAAGATATTTACCTGATTTAAACTAAAAGTTCAAATGCAAATTAAAGGGTCAGTTCACCCAAGTGATAGCTCAGCTACAGGTGGAATCAGTGGGTTTATCACCTGATGGCTTTTTAGATCTCTTGTGAAATTCAACAAAATGTTTCTACTATTATTGATAGTCATATCCCAATCTCCCTTCTAATCTTCAACAAACGGATATTTAAATAATAAGTAGAGTTTAGTGGACTGAATAGCCTACTGGCTTCTGATATCTTTGGTCTCACGGTTATAATTGCTGCTTCTACCTTGGATCTTTAGGTGTCCCTTCTCCTTTTGTTGCATTCTATATAACACAAAATAAATTAAAACTCAAACAAGGAGAGCAGATGCCCTTCATAAAGACCATTAGAAGTTTAAAGACCTGGAAAATCATTGCACAGATTTTGCACTGACACCCAAGTTATAACAAACCATTAGGTTGTTTATATCTTCAGCATCTAGACAGTATGAAAATCTCCAGCATGTCTGTACTAGCATGACCATTAATTGCCCCTCCAAATGTGCACATTCCTTGTTTGTTTTAGATTGAATTAGCTACTTGTCATTTTTCTTTTATCCACCAAAAACTGAAATATCAGCCTTGAGTAAAATAACTCTTTGGCTTTCCAGCTACTACCAAAAACTATTTTCTGTATACAGACCTAACTGTCATACCGGAAAATTGGTAGTAAATAAACATTTCTTTGTTGAATGCTTTTGCTGCAAATAGAAAATGATTTGCACTCAACAGAAGTCACAGCAATTCTAATAAGGGCCCATTTACACTGTTGCATTTTTAAAAATATTTATTTTTGTTTTTTGAGCATGTAATCTTTATTGAAAGTTTTTTGTTGGACAAACAGATCAATCCACAGTAGGATAAATGTAATCATACATACAGAAGTAATAGCAGTAAAAGAGAACAATCAAATAACTGCAGAATCAAGAACAATATCAAACAACTTCACAATCAATTCACTGGACTTGTAGTGGATTGACTTGTAGTGGAGGGGGCAGGCGGGGTGAGGAACGGAAAAAAAAGACCAGGACTAGGAGATTGCAAGTGGATTCGTAGCAGTATTAGTTTATGGTTGGAACGTTAAAGGACATCTAACATCCCCAGAGAGCCAGCAGCCTTAGAGGCGAGATACCATTTTGTGTCCTGGAATAAGAACATCACCTCCTTAAACCGTCCTGTATCTAGTTCGGTCAATAGAAGCGGGGTCCAGGTGAGGAAGAACTTAGCCATCTGAGTTTGGTTGAGATGGGTGTCCAATTTATCTAGTGACAGTAATTTGTGTAGCAGGTCTTTCAGGGTTGTTAGAGAGGGGGGAAGGAGTAAGTAAGCCAATTTGTCAGTTTCGCCTTCTTTGCTGCTATCATACATAAATGCTCCCAGCGGGAAAGGTCCCAAGGAGTAGACGTTACTATGGGACTGAAAGCATGGAATAGGCAGAATGCCGGTGTGAGGGACCGCTGGGAACCTGAGATGAGATTTATGTAAGAAAGGACAGTGGACCAAAATAATTGGCTGTGGGGGCATAACCATATCAGATGTTCCAAGTCCGGTGAACAAACCTGACATTTGGGGCAGGAGCTCAACCAATTTGGGGGGGAGTTTTTTTTAATAAAAGTTTAATTGCGTAGAATGCTCTATGGATCAATTTAAACTGGATTTCCCGCCAAGATTCACATATAATGGCTTTTCTTAGCGAGAGCTACCGTGGAGTAGCAGCTGCTCGGTGTCATCCAATGGAGTCTGAAGCAGAGCAGCCCACTTGGCGATATGTGTGCTAGGAGAAAGGGGGGGGGGGGCGCACAGAGAGCATAGAGGAACACAGGGAGAGGACAATTGAAGAGAGGGACATTTTCTGTGAAGGGGAGGACAGGAGTCTCTGAAAGGGGGAAAGGGTAGGCAGTACGGAAGGTTCTTGTTAATGAAGTGGGAAATTTGGGCATATTGTAAGAAATGTGAGAAAATAGCACTGCGCTTCACAAACTCAAAAAATGTATTCCTAAAATGTGAGAAAATTGTGATAAATTGTGAAATTGTCACAAAGTGATAAAACAATTTTGTGTTATCCACAACATCTGTGTTGCACAATGCCTGTGCTAATCTTGACTCTTGGTCTAAGACACTATAAGCCATAATAAACATAGAAAAAAAATGTGAATACCAAAAAACATATCCTTGTGCCAGTACATCTCATAGAATGTGTACATATAAAAAATCCTGTATATAATCTCACAAGTGATGTACAACTCCCACTTAGTCCCACTTGTTCACGTTGGGTTTTTTTTTGGTTTTTGGTTTTTACATTTTTTTAAATTTCATAATAAACCATTGCACAACAGTTTATAGTGCACTAAGCACCACATTTAATAAATTGCACACAAGCACCAATTTCCCATCCCAGATTCTCTAATAAAATTTTATAATAAGCCCTGCATCATGTCTGAAAGGCCAACAAGGAGACAGCTGTGTGACAGATGCATATAATTAAATTTGTTTATGCCCTGCCATTCCTGCGCCCATCAAGAGTAACTGTGAGGGGTCACAGTGTGGAGGCACCAACACCAAAGGCCCATTTGTTCCATACCTGTGTGACAGGTATATATCATTTGAATTTTTAGAGCAGGGTCCAATCCTGCACTCGTCAAGAATAACTCTGAAGGGTTATGATGTGAAAGCACCACCAACACTAAAGTCCCAAATTTAAAGCGCCTGTTGTTACTTTCATCCGTCTGCAAAAGAGGCACCAGAATTTATTCAAAAAATCTCTAAACTTCCTCTGAGTATCCTAAAATGTGGCCTCTTCATACAGGCTGCCTCCCCAGCAGTTGTTTACAATATTAAGGGAAGATCAATTACTGGCAATTTAAGTGTCATTTTTTTCTTTATAAATGTCAGTTTTGCTGCAGCAGGTTCTATACATCGTACAGATGTGCCACTTTACAGGCAGCTTAAGGGGACCCCCCAGGCACGATCTTTAAAGGATTTTTTCATTTTTACTGTTTCACTTTAAGCAATGTTAAAATCACTGCTCTTTTAAAAACTGTATTTTTTAAAAGAGTTTTTTTGCATTGATACTTGTGCCCCAGGGCAGTACCCGAATCCCCATACCCTTTTTATGGCAAATAACTTGCATAGAAGCCTTCAAAATGGGGACATTTGATTTTACGAGTTCTATAGACGTCCATTGAGTTCTAAATTCAATTTAGAACTTTTTCCATGTTCTAGTAAGAACTGAACTAAGGTGTGTTCAGCCCATCACTATTCAGTGCATTGTGAGAAATACAACATGTCTGTTTTAGTCTGCATTTTAGGGAGTTGGAAGGCCAATAGAAGTCAATGGCAACAGATGTTATGTGTTTTGATGCATTAACAACAGGTATTAACAGGTGTGGCACTCACCCACTAAGGAGCAGCTGGAATAATCGGGTCATCACTAGTCTGTGTAGGGGCTTTGATCTTCAGCTGCCCCATTAGCATTCAACCACCCTCTTCTAGTGCCCACAAAGCTGATGTCCACTCCAGTAATGCATTGCTGAATAACTTTTAGCAACTTCTTTATACTAGGGAGAGAGGGTATAGGGATCCTAAACATGCAGGGTGTACCAGACATAGACTCCAGACTCACCAGACCTCTTAAGCATCTCAGTATAGATTACCATTATACAGTGAATGGTAATTGACGTAACAGATGAGCAGGGGATGAGCACAGATCCTCAACAGGAGAGACACCAGCCATGCTCCAGAGGACCTCTCTGTTCCAGGCTCCTCCAGCAGACATCAGCTTCTCTGGTTCTCCTCATCTGACAACAGCACAGGCCTCCTCTATACTTGGGGTCCAGGGAAACTCTTCCCACACTTCAGCCTCTGCCCACCCCAGGAGTTAGGCCTAGCATGCGGGGTGGCTGGACAGCACCCAGCCCTAATCTATTGCTGGTCCTGACTAGTCTGAGCACATGGCAATTCCCTCCAGTATGTGTACCCTATCCCAGGATGCAACACTGGTTGAGAGAAACCCAGTGATTGGCTGCTGTATTGTACATACACTTGGATAAGAAAGAACAGAAAAAAATGACTTTTAAAGCACCACCAGGACCACTTCAATTTATATATAAAAAATATATTTTATTGTGAACTTTGTTTGTTAAAAATATATAGCAAGATTAAAATCATTAACATATATAGTCTTATTTACAAAACTCTGAAATCGTATGCCTATCATGAACCTGCACCTCCTCAACTGGTATACAATGGATAGTTCAGCTAGTAATTTCTATGCGATATCATTAGTATGTAACCATGATAAATATAGATATTTTTCCATGGGGAGGTGCTCAACTCTTGCTCTACGCGTTTCGTGGTACCGCTGCTTCTTTAAGAGCTTATGGGCAGGCATACAGTTGTGGTTCACAGATTTCTCTTCCATCATGGCTCAAAAATAGATAGAAAATGAAATTAAATCATCACACAGGTGGGAGGAGCGATGCAAGAAATCAACCAAGTGGGCGTCCAGGCACACATGACAAGAATCATCCCTAGTCCAGGACGTATGTTGTACAAAGGTATAAGAGTATAGATGTAGAAATCAGTTGGGCTTCCACATATCTGGCTGTGACCAGTAGTTTTAGTAAGAAAATCGCCAGAATTGTTTGTAAAGTAGTTGCCTAACCTGAGATTTAGATCATCATCTACATCTTTCATTCACCATAAGTGTCCATCCAGTTTGTAGTTTGACCACAGCCCTGGCAATCACTAAATGCCTAGTAACCATGCCACAAAAGGTGATGGGGGCTACAAAAGCCTCGGTCAATGGTTGTTAATGCAATACACTTAAAATTATAAATTCCAATTCACTGGAAACACATGCCAGCACATGTCAATAATGCATATAAATGCAAAACTAAGCAGAAATTGATGCATGACAATGCACCTGCCTAATGCTGCAAAAAAAGAATACCTCCATGCATATGCACATATCTAAATAGGCCCCTAATGTATTGCTCAGTCACTGTGTGGTTGATCTTTGGTAGTGTTTTAAGCTGGCTGTAAAATCACCTGCATATGATTGAACTGATTCCACACATTGGTATGAAGTTGGCAAATCAGGTGCATCAGCTGTGTTTATCAATTTACAATGGAATATCCGAATCTTGATTTGTGTATTGTGCTACATTTTGGGCATTTCAGAATTTGTGATTACTAAGTGAATCTTGGTGAAGTGCTGCCTTAGGCGTTTTCATAGGCATTGAACATTTTAGATTGCCACTTGCTTTGAATCGGCTAAACTAGATTTTCTAAATGCATATATGTTTACTGTTTACCTTGCAAAGGGTTTTGAATTCTGTACATTTGAGCATCTGTTACACACACTTCTGCCACACTGCACAGCCAGGCAGCTGATACACTTTTATTTCTTGGCTCCTGCTTGCCTATGTCAGGTCCTCCACCTGCAGCCTCTGACTGGAAAGACAGACACGGAGAGACTAAGCGGAGGGGCTACATGACTGGGGGGAGGAATAGTCCCGGGAGAAAGGGTTAAAAAATAAAAAAACCAGATCCTCCACCTGCAGCCTCTTACTGGAAAGTGAATCAAGGAGGTAACCCAGGAAGCAATAAAGCTGACCTAGTGCTGAACTATGGAAGTAGCAGAGTAATCATCTAACTGTGTATAAAGATGTTTGTGTATAACAAAAATGATGGGCCAAAATTTTTACAAATTTATTAGCAGTTGAAATCTACATACATTTGAACTGTGTATTTCACTGTTGACCTAGCGTTCCACTCTAAATCTGAAATACAAGCAAACAGTAAATACACAGATGAAATGCATATATGGGTTTTGTTTTACCTGCCAATGGATTTGTATTTCTGTTAATTCAGTCCTGAGGCTTAGACTTCTCTGGCCCACATAGCCCTGTCTAGCAGAGGAGGAGACCTTATTGTTCTCTTTGGTAGTTCAGTAACTTCTATTATAGGCATCCTCCTTGCACTGCAGAACAAGTGATTGGCTCCTTGTGCTGTTTCTCACTCCACCAGTCTGCTGTACAGAGGATTGCAAGGGGCTGATACCTAGTCAAGTTCAGGAGCTGTCTACAATTTTAAGTAATACATTTAAGGACATATTAATAAATACATAGCTGCATTTATTGTGTTTTTATATCTGCCTGGAGTTCAGCTTTAATCTACAGCTTCTTAATAGTGATATCTATGTTCTTACTGTAGAACCACCTAAAATCCATCTTGATTGCACTGGTGGAACGCCTGTCAACACCATCATTGTTGTGGCTGGAAACAAACTGCGATTTGATGTCCCGATCACTGGAGAGCCTGCACCAACAGTGGCGTGGTTCAAAGAAAATACTGTGAGCTTTTTTGTCTTTTTTTCTTAAAGGACTGTTTATAGACCCAAATATGCACATGTGCAATTTCATAGCAAGAAAAGTTCAGATTTTCCACTTTTTTGTTAAATTAATTATTTATTACCTTCAAAGTGTAAAGCTAAATGTGCAAACTACTGCCTTGATGTCAGAAGCAGCCATATTACTTTACTCTTCTGGTATTTACAGATAATTTTTTTTTTATTCTTTATTTGTGGACACTACTGCCTTGATGTCAGAAGCAGCCATATTACTTTACTCTTCTGGTATTTACAGATAATTTTTTTTTTATTCTTTATTTGTGGACAAAAAGGGTGGGGTACATAGAAAAGGAGGACAAGCAGAGGCCACATGGTCTCACACGATATTTGAATCATAGACAGTGAGGAACATATTTAAAACATGTTAACAAGTTGTAAGATCAGGTCAGGTAACCGTACATGTCCCCGCCATTAAGGCATTTTATGGTGAATATAAATGACTAACAAACACACAAAAACAAAATGAGAAGGGAACAATGTGTCGAGGCGAGTGGCCGAGTATAGCCCCACTATGTTGGAGGCCAGCCCGAGCCAGTTCACCTTCAAACAACACAGACAAGACAGACATTTAACTACACGGACTCACAAAGAGAGAGCAGAAGGAAACGTAGAAAGATTGGGAAAGAAAACGTGGACGGAGGTCTCACCCCCCGGTGGTCCCAAGCCGCCCTCCCCCCGCACCCACACACCCCCACACAGTGGGTAGTGTAATTGGGTGGTGCCTCAGTCTGTGGCTCCTTCCTGGCACACTGTAGAGAAAGCTGCCGAGCCCCTGAAGTGGACCCAGGCTCCCCAGGTGGCCACATACCTGGACTGCGATTCCCGTAAACTGGAGGTCAAATCCTCCATCAGTCTAATCTCCTCCCCCCGCCTCACCCACATGGTTACGGAGGGAGAGTGTGTCTGTCGCCACAGAGCTGGTATGCAGGCTCTAGCCGCGTTCAGCAGGTGTATCAGTAGTGAGCGTTTATACGCCCTTCGAGAGAGCGGCGCCAGGTGGAGACCGACGGGGTGAAGGGCAGCTCGTGTCCCGTGATATCCGCTATTGCAGAGGCTACGCTGACCCACAACGGTTGAACCTTCGGGCAGTCCCAGAAGACATGTAGCAGGGACCCCACCTCTGTTTCGCAGCGCCAACATAACGGAGAGACCGATGGGTACATGACATGAAGAGTTGTGAGCACCCTGTACCATCTGCTTAGGAGTTTATACCCAGCTTCCTGGTATTTGTTAGAGATGGAGGATTTGAGGGTGAAATATAGCATATTATTCACCTGTGCGGGACTGAGGGTTAGTTCTAGATCAGAGGCCCATTGTCTAACAAAGTACAGGGGGGTCTGGTCAGGAGGGCTGTGCAGACAGTTCACCAAGTATGCCAGGGAGTGTCTAATCGGCTCAGCCTGCAGGCATAATGTCTCAAAATTAGTCAGCGGCAGTCTAGGGCCCGGAGCCTCTGAGAAAGAACATAAGAAGTGCCTCAACTGCAGTGCGCACCACAATCACATTGGGGGAGTTGTGGTGGCCTGAATCTGGGCTACTTGTTTCCACTGACCCGCCTCCTGGAAGTGACACACCCTGGTGCTACCTGCGGTTGTCAGGGCTCTGGCTAGTGGGCCATGCTCTCCCGGAGGGAAGCGGGGGTTCCCCACCGCCGGTGTCAAGGGAGATGTGGGGGGAGTGAAGCTCGCATCGCCGGAGCTATCCACGGTATCCACGGTATGCCCTGTAGGGGCAACTGACTTCCCTCCTGTTCCAAGGCCACCCACAGTTTCTGTTCAAAGTAGCACCACAGATAGGTGGGCTGCTTTATAGTACAGCGTGGGGTCAGGGAAACCTAAACCCCCTGCCTCCCCCTTTCTGGACAGGATCTGGTGGCGTAAGCGAGCCCGCTTATTTGCCCATAGAAAATTCAAGAAGCTAGATCTTATCTGTTTAACGAACACAGCTGGTACAGTCACAGGTAACGTCTGAAAGAGGTCAAGTAGTCTGGGTAGTATCGTTATTTTCAAGATGCTATTTCGACCTGTCCCGGTCAATGCGTCTCTGTAATGGAGTAAAATTTAAAGTGAATGTCTGTTGGATGTCAACGGGGATAGATACCCCCAGATATTTGATATGCATGGGAGCCCATTTAAACGGAAAGGCCGTCCAAAGGACCTGCAAGCGTGCGTCTGGGATGGAAATGTCTAGCGCTTCATTTGCTAAAGTTTAATTTGAAGTTTGCCAGTCTACCGTACACCTCCAGTTCCCGCATAAGGTTGGGCAGCGTTATCTCGGGGCGCGAGAGGTAAAGCATCAAATCGTCTGCATAGGCTGCGACTTTGTGATGCCCCGATGGCACCTCCAGTCCTTGAATGTCTGTGGAAGCCTGAGGAGTGGCTCCAGGGTGAGGATGAATATAAGAGGTGACAGTGGGCACCCCTGACGTGTACCATTCGAGATGGAGAACGGTTCCAAGAGGACTCAGTTGACCCGTACCATCACATGGGTTCAGTATAGAGCGCGGTGATCCCTTGCCTCATGTTACTCCCCAAGCCAATGTGTGCAAGCGTCTCCCTCAGGAACGACCAATCGACCCTGTCGAAAGCCTTCTCCGCGTCTAGGGATAGTAGGAGAAGAGGCCGGGACTGGGAGCGGGCCAGGTGGATCACGTTGAGAGTCCTTATGGTGTTGTCCCTGGCTTCACGGCCAGGAACAAAGCCAACTTAGTTACGGTCAACAAGGTCCGCCACAAAGGGGAGCAAACATGAGGCCAGGATGCGCGTGAAGATTTTCAGATCAACATTCAACAGTGATATAGGTCTGTAACTGGCACACTGTAGCGGGTCTTTGCCTTCCTTAGGGATAACAGTAATGTGAGCTCTCAGAGAGTCACTGGGCATGGGTCTGTCCTCCAGAATAGCGTTGAAGGCAGATAAAAAGTGTGCGCCTAATTGCTCCCGATATTGCTTATAGTACGTAAGAGTCAGCCCATCAGGGCCAGGGGCCTTGCCCGGCTTCATGTCGCGTAGTGCGCATTCAAACTCAGCTTGGGAGATCGGGGTCTCCAGGGTCCGACTATTAGACTCGGTGAGACGTGGTGTGCAAGAACAGGCCAGGTAGTCTCCAATCTGTGATATTTGTGTCACCTGGGCAGGAGGATCTAAAGGAGAATGTAGGTTATATAGTTTTGTGAAAAACGAGTGGAAGTGCGCCGCTATTTCTGAGGACCGTGACGCCACCATCCCTGAGCCCGCGTGGATGGATGGTATGAAGTTGCGGGACCTAGAGTCCCGCAGGGCGTTGGCTAGAATCCAACCGGCCTTGTTCCCATATTCATAGAACGAGCTGCGGGATCTCGCCAACTGAGCCTCCACTTTGTCCAACAGGAGTTCAAGGAGCTAGGCTCTCGTTCTCGTCAGGGATGTCAACGTGTCAGTATCTAACGCTGCCTTGTGGCGTATTTCTAGGTCACATAGTTGGGCATATAGTTCGTCCACCCTCTTTTGTCGCTGACGTTTGCGTCTTGCCCCCAGCTTGATTAGAGTACCCCGTATCACACACTTGTGTGCTTTCTACATGGTCAAGGGGTCTTGCGTCGTGGAGTTATTTTCCGAAAATAACACGTGAGGTCCGATTGCACCTCAGTAGCAATGGCCAGAACTTGCAACAGGGATTCGTTAAGGCACCAGGATAGTGGTGGCCTGGTCTCGCCCCCGATACTCAAGACTATATGTATGGGAGAATGGTCCGACAGAGTCGAGGTACCAATGGAAACCGTTGAGACTAGGGGAAGTGTTGCATGTTGTAGCAGGAAAAAATCAATCCTAGAGTACGATTGGTGGGGGGGCGAGTAGTGGGTGTAGTCCCTGCCCGTCTGGTCACTAATGCGCCAGGGATCGATTAGCTGTAAGTCATACATCGAGCGCTTGATACGTCGTCTTTGAGCATGCGTGATATGTGAAAGTCCCCTAGATGAGTCCATGGATGGGTCGAGCACCAAATTAAAATCACCTCCCAAAACCCAAAGCCCTGCGGCAAAGGATAACATTCATGCCCACACCGAGTCTAAGAAATCTATCTGACCAGAGTTAGGGGCATATATCGCTGCTAGAGTCACCATCCGCCCATGGATTGCCCCCTTAACGAGCAGTAACCGTCCCTCTGGGTCAGCATAATGATCCTCGTAGGTCCATGCTAGGGATTTGCCCAACACTATGCTCACCCCTCTGGATTTGGAATCCGGGGATGGGGCATGGTAGGACGTAGTGTATCTGTGGTTCCCCAGCCTCGGGACCCGCCCTACCATGAAATGGGTTTCCTGTACAAAGGCCACCTGGGTGCTAGATTGCCAAAGCTCATCAAGGAGACAAGATCTCTTTTCAGGGACTCGGAGGCCACAAACATTAAAAGAGGTGATACGTAGCTCGGGCATGGTTGGCAGATATATGTGTTAGTGGCCAGTCGGGTGCGTTCGGGAGACTGACGGGTCAAAGGTGACCGCCTGATGGGGCGGGCCTACGGTCTTAGATACCTGGGGATATCCCGGTCCGGGACCACCCGAGGTAGAGCGGGGGAGAAGCACGAGAGACAAAGACACAAAAGAAAGAATACAGAGGGAGTAAAGTATAGAGAGGATAGTACACTAACTGACCTTCGAGTGAGAACGAAACATAAACACGACAGGGGTGTTCCTTTGTTTAACCTCCAACACGGAGAGGAAACACCCAGCAATCGGGGGAAGAGGCTAAACACAGCAGTAATCAGAGATGCAGACACGGGGGGGGGGGGTATATCACCCATAAAACAATGCGATTCCGACTCCACACCCACCCCAGTCCCTCCAATACAACTATAGCAGTACTGCCCCTATGTGGTACAGCAACAAGTACCTCACGGAATGTGCAGCCCATCTAACAACAACCAGCTGATTTCCCCATCCAGTAGGCTGGACACGGCAGAGGC